ACCTCCATCACCCCAGGCCTCCATCCACCCCGGCCTCCATCCAACCCAGGCCTCCATCATCCCAGGCCTCCATCATCCCAGGCCTCCCATCACCCCAGGCCTCCATCACCCCAGGCCTCCATCCATCCCAGGCCTCCATCATCCCAGGCCTCCATCCATCCCAGGCCTCCATCACCCCAGGCCTCCATCCATCCCAGGCCTCCATCACCGCAGGCCTCCATCATCCCACAGAGGCCTCCTCGCCACCCCGGGGGGGCTCAAAGGACCTCACTTCTCTGGCCTTAAGATGAGGTGGGATGACGTGGCAGGAGACACTTCCACCCCCCACAGGATCACAAACTGGGGTTGGGTGGGAAGGGACCTTAAAGCTCATCCAGTCCCACCCCCTGCATGGGCAGGGACACCAGCCGAGGCTGCTCCCAGCCCCATCCAACCTGCCCTTCCCTCCAGGGCTGGGGCATCTCTGCGGCCTCCCCTGGCTGTGCTCCAGCAGCTCCATGTCCTCCTCGTGTTACGATTCTTTAATTCTCCATCGCAGGGGTGACAAACGTTGCCTGAATGGCCACCCCGTGTCTCCAGGAGTTGAACTCCACTCCATCTGACTCCATCACTTCATGGTGCTACTGCGGGGAGAGAAGAGGAGAAACCACAAATCCCAGGATGCTTGGAAAGAGCAATTCCATCCCCCACCAGGTCTTCAGAGGTCCCTTCCAGCCCCGACCGCTTGGTGACTGCGGCTGCTCCTTGTCAGACCAGCCGTGGTCAGGTGGGACTCACCTGAGCTGTTTGCTGGGCATGGCCACAGCCCTAGGGCCTCCCCCATGCCCAGGCTCCCTCCTCCCCAGCAGCTCTGATCACTGATCCCGGGTCACCCTCCCCTTGGCACCTCTCCCAGGGCTCTCACTGCGGGCGGTTTCACTTTCACCTGCACCAGCCCGGGGAAGAGCCCCTCACCCTCTCCGTGGACCCTGCAGGACAACGCAGCTTCCCGAAGGTACAGACACCCCCAGACCCCACCCACCACCCCCCCTGGGACCCTTCCCAGACAATATTCTGCCATTCCCAACCTCAGGAAGCAGCCCAGGCTGAGCAGGCAGGAGCAGGATCCCAGGAGCAGAGGAGGCCAAGGGTTAATAGAGGGGGGAGGTGTCACCACTGTCTGGGGGCCAAAACAGCCTCAAATCGTGGTCTCCAGGAACTGCAGGGCTTGGTCCTCAAGTCTACATGGAGTTTCTCCTGGTTTTTCCATGGAGCTCCTTACCTGGGGAGCTTGTTCACTCCTTTATTTCCTTGGGAAATAAAAGGTTGGCAAGGAACCCACCAGGATCCCCCCCTCCCCAGGCTGAATTTACCACCTGGTGGACACTAAGTTGTGTTCCAGCTCTAATGTCTCCTCTGGCACCTCCTGTTTTCCCTGCTTTTTATTACTGGTCCATAAAAGAGGAGTTTGGAAGGAGGCTCCTCAGTCCAAGTCCACTTCCCTGCTCATTATCAACCACTGAGTCACCCTCATGAACAGCTTGGTCAGGATCCTTCTGGGAACTCCTGGTGCTGCTGCACCCCCAAGTGATGTCCCTCTCTCCAGTGTGTCACAGAATCATGGAGTGTGTTGGGTGGGAAGGGACCTTCAAGATCATCCAGTCCCAACCCCCTGCTGGGCAGGGACACCTCCCACCAGCCCAGGTTGCTCCAAGCCCCATCCAGCCTCTCTTTTAAGGACAAGCAACCAACCCGATTTCCATGTCTTGCATGAAGTTTTTTTCCTCAAGGTCTCCACCTTCTGGTCACAACCATCAGTGGCAGGTGGTTGGATGGATTCAGTTCAATTCAGGACACTCATGACTTCATTTGAGCCTATTTTGAGGTTTTGAGGCTCCACTTGTCCTGCTGCCCCCAGTCAGGACCCATCCCTGGAGGTGTTGAAGGGCAGGTTGGATGGGGCTTGGAGCAACCTGGGCTGGTGGGAGGTGTCCCTGCCCATGCAGGGGGGTTGGGACTGGACGATCTTTAAGGTCCTTTCCAACCCAAACCAGTCTTGGGATTCTGGGCCTTGGTGCAGGAGCTGGTGGGTCAGCACAGCTCCCAGAGTTGGTTTCCTTGCAGGCCGTGGCACAGCAAACAATGCTGAGGGCCTCCCTGGAGAGGGCTGGTCCCACCTACACCTACAAGGTGGTCCTGCTGGGTAGCACATCTGTGGGGAAGTCGAGCCTGGCCTACAGATACGTCAGAAATGACTTCAAGGAGTCACTGCCAACTGTGGGATGTGAGTGAGGGGCCTCCAGAGCTCCATCTGGACCAGGAGAAGGGCTGAAGGTTTCCTGATCCCTTCCTTGGAGTGGGGTGGGATGGAGGACAAGGGGCAATGGGCACAAGCTGGAGCAGAGGAGGTTCCACCTGAACATGGGGAGAAACTTTTTGACTGTGAGGGTGGCAGAGCCCTGGGACAGGCTGCCCAGAGGCTGTGGAGGCTCCTTCTCTGAAGACATCCCAAACCCATCTCGATGTGCTCCTATGGGACCTGCTGGAGGTGACCCTGCTTTAGCAGGGGTTGGACCAAATGATCTCCAGCCCCCACCACTCTGTGACTCTGGGTGTGATTCCATTCACCCTGATGTCCCTGGGTTTGGCCCCAAGAGGGCACAGAGATGTGGTCCCAGCTGGAGCCTGAAGAGCTGGTGGAGAAGGGCAGGGTCCTTGGGCCACCCCCACTGGTGCTGATCCACCCAACCCTGCTGGTGGGTGAAGAACCCACCCTGGTCTGACACCTTGTGCCATCCCTGGTGGCCCTGGGGTGACCCCACAGCAGCAGATCCCCCTTCTGCTGTTGGCCCAAGAAGGCCCCCGCCCTGCACCTTCTTTGCAGGCTCCTTCTTCACCAAGATCCTCAACCTGGACGTGGCCACCATCAAGCTGGAGATCTGGGACACTGCGGGCCAGGAGAAGTACCAGAGCGTTTGCCACCTCTACTTCCGCGGCGCCCACGCTGCTCTTCTCGTTTACGACATCACTGATGAGGTGAGGATGGGGGTCCTGCTCCCCTGGGAGGCCACCCAGGGCCTCCCCACCACCCCCCCTGCATCCCTCCCACCTTTGGTGCCACCATCCGAGCTTTGGCTCCACGGGCTCAACCCAAGGTGGGGTGGGTTGTGTCCCCACCCCTCCAGGGAACCCTCAGCAGAGCAAAGCTGTGGCTGAGGGACCTGGAGAAGGAGTTCCTGCCCGAGGAGATAGTCATGGCTTTGGTGGGCAACAAGACTGACCTGGAGGCTGAGAGAGAGGTCCCCACCGAGGTGAGCAGCTGTGGGCACCTCCCAGACCCCTCGTTAGCCTCCCCGTCCCATCAGCAGGCGCTGGGACATGTCCTAGCAAAGCCCAGAAGTTGAAGGGCTTGCAGACACCTCCAAAGTCCACCTTGAAATGGCCACCAGCACCCAAGAGAGAGGGCTGGGGCAGTGACCCTGCATGTCTCCATCCAGAAAGGGGAAGAGTTTGCAAGGACCAAAGGCCTCCTGTTCATGGAGACATCTGCCAAATCCAACCACCAGGTGAAGGACATCTTTATGGCCATGGGTAAGCTGGGGGATGGCTCTGGAACAACCAGAGCAGGTGGACTGTGGGGCTCCAAACACCTTCTTCTTCCCCCACTTCCCCTCAAAGCTGACCCCACCAAGGTCTGCTCCTCAGCCTGAAGAAGACCTGGCATCTTCAAGGGTCACAGCTGCAGCTGGCCCTGGTTTCATGGAGTGGTTTGGGTTGGAAGGGACCTTCAGGATCATCTATTCCCAACCCCCCTGCATGGGCAGGGACACCTCCCACCAGCCCAGGTGCTCCAAGCCCCATCCAACCTGCCCTTGGACACCTCCAGGGATGGGGCTTCCAGAACTTCACAACCTGTTCCAGTGTCCCAGCGCCCTCCCAGTGAAGAATTCCCCCCTTGTGTTCCTTCCCAGCCCAGGAGCTCCTGAGGAGGGAGCAGGAGAAGACCCCAGCCCCCTCCCCACACAGGGGGCCAACGGTGGAGCTGGAGGACAGCAGGGGGAGGACAAAGTGCTGCCAGCTCTGAGGAGGGGACAGGTGGGACCTCCCTGGTGAGGTGTCCAAGAGGAGCAGTGACAAAGCAGGGGGACACAGAGAGCAGCTCAGCCTGGCCACCCCACCTGGGAGAAGGTTAGAGCCCATCTTGGGCCACGGGGACCTCCAGCCCTGGCTTCATCCAAGAGATGAAGCACGAGAGGGGTGTGGTTCTTCCACCAAGGAAGTTCTCTAGAAGTTCACCCCCCTGGCCCAGCTTCATGTCCCCTCTGTGTCTCTTCCCAGCCAGTAAGGGAGGATTTAACTCGGGGAGTGAAGCAGGAACATCCCAGGGCTGCAAATAAAGGGAATGTGTTCCTCAAGGTCCTGGTTTTCTTCTCCCTGTCACCTCATAGGTGGGGACCACAGGACACCTGAAGGTGGCAGGGACCTGAGCTGAGGCTCTCAAGCTGTAGCAGGAGCCCCTCGAGGTTGTGAGGGGGAAGGAAACACTGCTTGTCACCCAGCAAGATGCTCTGTCACCTCCTCCACCCCCAAAGCACCTGAGCTGTCCCCACACATGCTGGTGACACTCCCTGGTGGCCACGCCAGCCTGTGGGACGAGGCTGGGTTGGGTCACCAGGCAGCAGACATCCCCTGGGGATGCTCCCTGTGGTGGGAAGGGGCCCAGAGCCACGGGAGCCCACCTCTCAGGGACCCCCACGCCCCCTCCCCAGGAGAGGACCATCTTCACCAGGGCAGGAGCTCCTTCCCCCTGGGAGGACCTGGTGCCTACACCTCGTTAGGTGCTAATTGCCCCATTTGCCCCCTTCCCATGGACCCTTTGGAGCCCCAGGAGTTGGGTCAGGACCTGGGGGGTGGGTGTGGGGGTGTCACCCTCCCCTCCAGACCCCAGGCTGGGAGGGCTGGGACAACCTTCTGGGGACATTTGGGGACCCTCCTCGAGTGCCTCATGACCTGGGCAAACGGGCCTTTTGCTGCCCTCGATGCCCGTGGGTGCTGTGGGGGCACCAGGGGATGTTCCTGGGGGGGCAGGTCACCCACCCCCCCGCACCAGACCCTCTCCCAGGGGAGCAGAGAGGGACACGGCGAGGAGAAGGGTTTTTATTGTCACCGCAGCTCAGGGGGCGCCCCCCGGGCGGGGTTTCGGGGCCGGGGGCTGCCGGGGGGGGGACACACGAGGAGCCCCCCGGTCACCTCCTGCCCCCGGTGGCCAAGGACCCTCCCCCGGGGCCCGGCGCCTCCCGAACCGCCCCACGGGTCGGATCCCACGGCCCGTGTACCAAGAGGGGTCGATGTCCGGGCCTGGAAGGGAGAAGCAGAGGGTGGTGGCATCAGGGGGGGGCTTCTCACCCAGGGCTGGGGGCACCAGGCCCCGGGGAGGAGGAGGAGGGGCTGGGAAAGGGGCCGAGGCAACAGAACGTGGTGGGTGCAGAAGGGCCGGGCGGGGGGCGCTGGGGGGACGGGGAAGGGTCTTACTCCTGGTGTCCTTACTCCTGATCTGCATGGCTCCGTGGGGCAGGGGCAGGGCCAGGCAGGACAGCAGCAGGCACAGCAGGCAGGTCGCTCCCAGCTTCATCCCGGGTCCTCGGGGCTCGGTCCTGGAGCCGCCCGGGCTGGGGGTGTCCAACCGTGGGATGGGGGGGGTTGGGAGGGAGCTTGGAAGTTCCTCCGGTTCCAACCCTCTCCCCACTGAGATCCAGCACCTCCCACGGCAGCCGGGTGCTCCAAGCCCCAACCAGCCCTGCCAGGGATGGGGTGTCCACAACCTCACCTGTTCCCGTGTCCCACCGCCCCGATGGACACCCCCTGGGTGATCCCTCCACCAGGAGGTGACCAGGGCGCTGCTGTCCCTGCGGCTTTTGGAGAGGCTGGGGCTGATCCCCCGGGGGAGCAGGGCAGGAGAGCCAGGAGGGCTCCCTCATTCCCAGGGGGTTTATTGGGGCAGAAGTTGGCAGGAAGCCGGGGGGCTCCTCCAGAGGAGCCCCGAGAGCAGCCCCCGAAACCTCATCCCACCCCTTTTCCATCTGATCCCGGGGCAACAGCAGCAGGGCAAGCTGCTCTTACCTCGGAGCGGGGCAGGTGCGCCGGGCTGAGCCGGTGTCCCCTCCGGTCGCCGTTTTTATTGTGACTTGGATGCTGATGTCAGAGGCGGGGGTGGGGGCGGGGGGGGGGGGGCATCTCCCCCCCTCCCTGCCCCTTGTTGTCCCCTCCCCTGTTGTCCCCTCTCATCAAATCAGCACCAGGCTCTGGTGACTCAGACGGAGCCTTTTGATCTCGGGAAGGGATCAAGCCCTGGGGCGGGTTTTTTCGGGATCCAGGGAAGTTTTCTCCTCCATCTCCCCACTCCTGGGTCCTGCTGCCCCAACCCTGATGGGAGGAGGTGCCACCTGGGTGGCCACCACCCTTTCTCCTTCATCCCCAACTTCCCATTCCCCAAAAAGCTGCTGGAAGGAAAACAGGGAATGAAAGGGAGAAGCTTCAAAACTCTTGGTTTTACAAACCACCCACCCCAGGTTGAAGGTTTCTGGGGATGTTTGGTCTCCTGGAGGTGCCACCTTGGGTGGTCAGGAGGGGTAAGGGGCTGCTCAGGATCCAAACCCACATCCAGCCAAGGCAAAACTGGGATTACTGGGGGAACTGGTTTTATTGCAGGGTTTTGGGGGGTACAGAAATCATCTCCAGGCAGGTGGGAAGTGGCAAAGTGAGAAGAAGGGAGGTGGCTACAACCCGAGGAGCCCCCCGGGGTCTCTGACCCTGGTCAACCAACTTCAGGCCAGGATTCCACTGGGATGTAAGAAACTGGGAATTCTTTCCATCTGGGAAGGCCCAGGTGATGGATTTCCCAGCTTGGAAGACTGACTTCTAGAAGCTTCTATCACTAGCAAAGCCAAAGGGAGGTGTTAATGGCAGGGGAATTCCCACTACTCCTCAGAATTCCAGGGGGTTTTAGTTCAGAACAGCCCCTAAGAGGCTGGAGAGGACAGGAACATGGGGACTTTTGGGATCAGGAACCTGCTCCATGGTGACTTCTCATCCTGATGTCCTGGGAGTGGGGACAGGGCCAGGCATTGATCCACCAGGGTTGGAATTCAATGTTGGAGGAGAAAAACCCACCCACAAAAACATGTCTGGAGGATCTGGGGGAGGTGTCAGCAAGGTTGGGTCCCCTGGTGGGAGCCCAGGGCCACCACAGCCCCACCAAAGGATGGGATGGTCCCACCAGCTCCTAACAACCCCACTGCTGGGGACAGGGGATCATGCTCTTCCAAAAGGCACCTGCCAGCTCCACTCATCCACCACCCCCTCCCAGAGGAGGTGGCTCCTGCTCTGCACCCCCTGGTCCCCCTTGGTTGCCCAGAGCTGAGGTCCCATCCTGCTCCCTCCCGCCAGAGCCACGTGTCCACATCCCAGGTGGTTCATCCTGGACATCCTGGTTCCTCTCCCGGGCAGGATCCCATGGCCTCCAACTTCCCTCCTGCCCAGGGCTCCAGGGAGGGCAGGAGAGAAGGCAGAGCAAGAGCTGGGGGGAAGGTGGTGAGGTCTTGTCAGTCGGATGAGGAGGCAGGAAGGTCCCTCAGGACAGGTGGGTCATCACGGGCTTCTGCAAGGAGCCAGAGGGAGGGACCTCAGCTCACCATGTCCCCACCACCCCAGCTGGTGATGCCAGGGCCCTCCCACCCCACGGGCCACGAGGCAGGAGGAACTCCAAGGATCTGCACCTTGTCCTGGCACCCCCTGGGAGCCACTGCCAGGAGGCCTCACTTCCCTGAGAGCCCGGGGCTCTGGCGGCCCAAGGAGGGCACGGAGAAGGGACAGGTCCCTCTGCAGAAGCCACCAGAGGGGCAGGTCCCCCGGCCCTGCAGAGCCCGGGGTCGTACCGCGAAGAGCCGCTCCCCGCGCCGGCTGGCCCCCTCCGGGTGGCACTTCGGCTGGGGACCTCGGC